CCCCTGAATTTCTGGCAGATAATGCACGACTTTGCCAAGAAAATGTTTGCAATTACAAATGTTTAAGCATTCTCATGTTTAATTATTTTGGTTGTATTAGTAGGATACAAGAAAGTGGAGAAACAAAAAAAAAGCCAAATCTGACACATTCCATGCAAAACCCCAAAAATGGACTGGACAAAATTGGCATCCTCCATTTAATATTTGGTAGTACACCCCTTGCAAAAAATAACTGGAATCAATTGCTTCCCATAGCCATCAGTGAGTTTCTTATACCCCTCTACTGGAATTGTGTCCACTCTTCGTTTGCGAACTGCTCCAGGTCTCTCAGATTGGAAGGGTTCCTTTTCCAACTGCTGTTTTTAGATCTCTCCACAGGAGCTATATGGGATTGAGATCTGGACTCATTGCTGGTCAGTTCAGTTCTCTCCAGCGCTTTGTCTGAAACCATTTCTGGGTGTTTTTTGATGTGTGCTTTGGGTCATTGTCCTGCTGTAAGACCCATGACCTCCGACAGAGACCCAACTTTCTGACACTGGGCCTAACATTGCACCACAGAATTCTTTGGTAGTCTTCAGATTTTATAATGCCATGCACACGGTCAAGACATCCAGTGCCTGAAGCAGCAAAACATCAGTGAACCTCCACCATGTTTGACTGTAGGGACTGTATTCTTTACTTTAAAGGCCTCATTTCTTTTTCTGAATTAGAAAACAGTAGAATGATGGGCTTTATCGAAAAAAGCTGTAATTTTGTTTAATCTTTCCACAAAGCACATTCTCCCAAAAAGATTTTGGCTTCCTTAGGTTATGTTTTGACAAACTCCAATCTGGCTTTGTCTCAGCAGTGGGGTCCACCTTTATCTCCTTCCATAGCGTCCCTTTTCATTCAGATGGCAACATTTAGTGGGAGCTGACACAACTGTACCGTGCCTGAAGGTCAGCTTCAATTTGTCTGAAAGTTGATCAAGGTTCTTTAGCCACCATTTGAACAATCCTCCGTTGCAATCTCTGATCAATTTTTATCTATTGTCCATGTCCAGGGAGATTATCTACAGCACCATGGGCTGTAAACTTCTTGACAGTGTTGCGGACACAAACATTAAGATCTCTGGAGATGGACTTGTAACCTTGAGAATGTCCATGCTTTTCCACTATTTTTGTCTGAGGATTTGAGAACACTTCTTTGCTGCTCTTTCTCACCTCCATGCTCCATGTGGCACACAGAGGCACACAACAGAAAGGCTAATGTAGGCCATAGACGGTTCATTTATCGGCCGAATTTTCATCCGAAACAGTCAGCCGATATTTCGCACCGTTAGTGGGGCAATGTCGTCGGCCGATTTTTGCGGTTCCTCCTCGTTTCTTTTATCAGTCATGCTGGAAAATTTACGAAAAACTGACGATTTTCGTAAGCACTGGTGGCAACAGAACTACCGATTTTTTTTTTTTTTCATTTTTCGTCCGAAAAGTCGGCTGATAAACGAACCGTTTATGGCCGGCAAAAGTCAAATTTTCACCATTTTACCTGGCTGCTGGTGTGTTTTCTATTTTGTCGGCACCTTTTAATTGATACAGGTGAGTTTAATTACACATTACAGAAGTATCACAAACTTGGAATGCAATTTCTGACAATTTTGAGAAGATGCCAATAATTTTGTCCAGTCCATTTTTGCAGTTTTGGTTGGAATATGTCAGATTTATCTTTTTGTTTCTCTTTTTTTTATGTCATATATACAAACAAAAGAAATAAACATGAGAATGCCTAAACTCTTGTAATTGCAACAATTTTCTGGACGAAAGTGGTGCATTATCTGATAGAAATGCAGGGGTGCCAATAATTTTGGCCATAACTATGTGTAGATATGCTGTGTGTTTGGACCCATATACTGTAAAGCAATACATCTGCATTCAGATCTGTTGAAAGAAAAAAAATGTTTTCTAATAATATAGCATGTTTTATGCAGCTCTCTGCATGAGCCCTTAGCCAGTTAATTTACTTATTGGTCCCATTTCCAAAGGGGAACCCTCCACATATGCAGATTTATGTTGTTCCTGCAGCGGTCACATTGTCATTACCTCTGGAAAGGAGTGAATTCAAAAAATTGTTATGCTTGTTTTGCCATACTTTTACTGGAACATCAGAGCTAAATTTGTATTTTCATGGCTTTATGCACTGGAGTGAATCTTTGTCATTTTTTTTCTTGTAGTACATGTGGTGTTCACGTCTGAAAAACCAATAATTGTGCAATGGTTCTGGAGTGGAGGGTGGGGCATTTTTTTTTTTTTTTTTGCAGGAAACCTTAATTGTGTCTTTTGCTTTGCAGATAAACAGCCAGAAATATGCGAAGTGTACAGAGAGCAGCCAGTGGTTAAAAGCACTGAGGCCATGTATGAAAGTGATGGTAGTGATTCTTTGGCTGATCAAGATACTTTAGATAAGAAAGGTAAATTTATTTAATTCCTGTATTAAAAGATAAATTCCAGGCATTATTATTATTATACAGTATTTATAAAGTGCCAATACTTCGCTCAGCGCTGTACATTACAGAGGGGGACAACCTTTTAAGGTATTACTGATCAGACACAAAGGAACACTCATTTTGTATGCACCAGATGACTTTGTAAATACAGATATCACCTTGTAAAAGTTGCAGACTTTGCTGCAAATAGCCTGTGCAGAAAACAGAAGGGTGCATACAAGACCAGTCTCTCTGCACAACATAGGACAGTCAGAGGAGAATGAATACTCCTCCTACAAGCTTTAACCAGTGCTTGGCCAGACACTGATAGAAATAATTGCATGTCCATGTACTGTGTGAGACCAGATATATTGAATGCAGAGTCATGGGTTTAGTAGCATGTTACGCTTCTGCACAGAGGTGAAGTATCATGCTGAATTACTGCACAGATCTGGAAGAAATACACAAAGATTCAAGTAAGAATATGCATGCCTGTTGTATTTAAGCAATATTTGCTTATCTTGGGGTTTAACCACTTGCCCTCCAGAGAATTTCCCCCCTTCCTGACCAGGCCATTTTTTGCGGTACGGCGCTGTGTTACTTCAACTGGTAATTGCGCGGTCATGCAACGCTCTACATAAATTAAATGTATGTCCTTTTTTTCCCCACAAATAGAGCTTTCTTTTGGTGGTATTTGATCACAATTTTGAAAAAAAAAACCAAAACAATATTTTTGACTTTTTCTATGAAACATATCCAGTAAAAAAATTTAAAAATCAAATGTCTTCATAAATTTAGACCAAAATGTAATCTGCTACATGTCTTTGCTAAAAAAAAAAAAAAAAATCCCAATTAGTGTACAGATGATACTCAAAAAATTAGAATATCATGCAAAAGTTCATTTATTTCAGTAATGCAAAGGTGAAACGAATATATGAGATCGACTCATTACATGCAAAGCAAGATAGTTCAAGCCGTGATTTGTCATAATTGTGATGATTATGGCTTACAGCTCATGAAAACCCCAAATCCACAATCTCAGAAAATTTGAATATTGTGAAAAGGTGCAATAGTCTAGGCTCAAAGTGTCCCACTCTTAGCAGCTAATTAAGCCATAACACCTGCAAAGGGTTCCAGAGCCTTTAAATGTTCTCTGTCTGGTTTGGTAGGAATCACAATCATGCTGACCTGACAGTTGTGCAGAAAACCATCATTGACACCCTCCATAAGGAGGGAAAGCCTCAAAAGGTAATTGCAAAAGAAGTTGGATGTTCCCAAAGTGCTGTATCAAAGCACATTAATAGAAAGTTATATGGAAGGGAAAAGTGTGGAAGAAAAAGGTACACAAGCAGCAGGGATGACCGCAGCCTGGAGAGGATTGTCAGGAAAAGGCCATTCAAAAGTGTTGGGGACTTTCACAAGGAGTGGACTGAGGCTGGAGTCAGTGCATCAAGAGCCACCACACACAGACGGATCCTGGACATGGGCTTCAAATGTCGTATTCCTCTTGTCAAGCCGCTCAACGTCAGAAGTGTCTTACCTGGGCTAAAGAAAAACAGACCTGGTCTGTTGCTCATTGGTCCAAAAGTCCTCTTTTCTGATGAGAGCAACTTTTGCATCTCATTTGGAAACCAAGGACCCAGAGTATGGAGGAAGAATGGAGAGGCACACACTGCAAGATGCTTGAAGTCCTGTGTGAAGTTTCCACAGTCTGTGTTGTTTTTTGGGGAGCCATGCTTCATTAAGTCCAGGGTCAACGCAGCCATCTACCAGGAGATTTTGGAGCACTTCATGCTTCCTTCCGCAGACTAGCTTTATGGGGATGCTGACTTCATTTTCCAGCAGGACTTGGCACCTGCCCACACTGCCAAAAGCACCAAATCCTGGTTCAGTGACTGTGGGATTACTGTGCTTGATTGGCTAGCAAACTCGCCTGACCTGCATTGCCAAGAGAAAGATGAGACATGAGACTGAACAATGCAGAAGAGCTGAAGGCCGCTATTGAAGCATGCTGGTCTTCCATAACACCTCAGCAGTGCCACAGGCTGATAGCTTCCATGCCACGCCGCATCGAGGCAGTAATTGCTGCAAAAAGGGGCCCAAACCAAGTACTGAGTACATATGCATGCTTATACTTTTCAGAGGTCCGATATTGTTCTATGTACAATCCTTGTTTTATTGATTGCATTTAATCTTCTAATTTTCTGAGATTGTGGATTTGGGGTTTTCATGAGCTGTAAGCCATAATCATCACAATTATGACAAATCACGGCTTGAACTATCTTGCTTTGCATGTAATGAGTCTATCTCATATATTAGTTTCACCTTTAAGTTGCATTACTGAAATAAATGAACTTTTGCACGATATTCAAATTTTTCGAGTTTCACCTGTATATTAATTGGTTTACATGAAAATCGTAGCATTTACAAATGGATTATATATACTGGAATCTTTATTTTAATTTTTTTTAAACTAGTAATGGCGGTTATCAGCGACTTATAGCGGGACTGTGGTGGGCATTCTGACAATGTGTGGGAACTAACTGCCACTGACATCCCAATGACACTAATACAGTGATCAGTGCTAATAAAAAGCACTGACACTGTACTAATGACTCTGGGCAGGAAGGGGTTAACATCTGGGGCAATCAAAGGGTTAACTGTGCTTTTTGTGCTGTTTTTTGTTTACAAACTGCTTTATTGTACAAAAGTAGACTGTAAAACAGTACATTTTCAAATGATACTTACAGCAAAAAAAACAAGGCACTTTTGAAAAGTACAATGCAGAAAAGTATATTAACGAAAGAAAGAGAGAAGAAATAGAAAATAGTAGGTTGCAAGTACATGAAATATGTAGATGATAAGGTAGATGGAATGATACATCTGTCAACAGTATATGCCAGTCAACTTTCATTGGGAATGTTATTAATTATGCAATAAATGTCTATAATCCCTCCACGACTCCCATTTTTTATCAAATAAATGCATCTTATCTGTAGTAGGGTATAATGAATACATTCCATGAGCATTACAGCATCAATTCTATGTAAAACGGAGGCCAAGGGTACAGAATTGGACCTCCAATGTAAGGCAATAGACCATAAAGTGGCAATACATATAGTATGTATCAATCTCATAATGGCATCAGAGACCCCCGGGATATGAGCCCTCAATAGACAGGTCTGTAAAGATAATCGTACCGGGTACCCACCAGTGAGGTAGCCACCTCAGATATCTTGCACCAAATAATAGATATGGTCGGGCAATCCCAAAATATATGAACCAAAGTACCTATGAGGCCACAGCCCCGGAAACATAAAGGGGACGTTTGTGGGAACAGTACATGTAGTCTTGATGGGGTATAATATTATCTAGTTAAAACCTTGAGGGCCGTCTCACGAATAGAAAGAGATCGAGAACACTTGCATATGTTTATCCACCATGGAATCCCAATCCTCATCCAAAAAAGTGATTCCACTATCTTCCTCCCATTTTTGTCTATATAGGGGGGGGTATGAAAAAGACAGATCAAAGATTGGTGATAAAGATCAGAAATAAGACCCTTCCCCTAGGAGAGTCACGGCTGATATGTTCAAAAAAGGAAATTGGAGAAGATGGCACAAGGCCAAAGTGTGAACCAAAAAAATGTCTAATCTGTCGGTAACGATGGTACTCACGAAGAGGGATATCAAAAAGCATGCGCAGCATATCAAAGGTAATATAAAGATCCTCCTCTTTGAAAATCAGATAATCTGATAAAAGAGTGATCATACCACCAATGAAACGTTTGAGGGGAAGAAAAAAGCTGCAACAAAAGTAGGATCACCAAAAAGTGAAACACCTGGGGGAATAGAAGAGACCAGATTCAATTTAGATTTGTATTTTGACCAAAGTGTCAGTGAATGGGGTCACTATAGAGTTATGAAAAGTAAGCGAGCGGGGGGGAAATTTTGGACAACAAAATACCCAGTAAATAGAATGGGCATATAGACTGAGATTCAAACTTGATCCATGAGATCTGAGAGTTAATAGTTTCCCATTGTGATAGTTGCGCAAAACGAGCCGAGAGGTAATATAGCCAAAAATTGGGAAGGCCGAGGCCTCCCATCCGTTGTGAGCGGTACAAAATGGATGAAGCAAAACGTGGACGCTTATTACCCTAAATAAACTTGTTGATAGTCCGCTGAAAGTGGTCCAAAATTGTTTTTGAGACCGGGATTGGAAGAGCTCTAAAAAGATAAAGTAGTTTAGGCAAAATATTCATTTTAAACGCCGTGACTCTACCCAGGAAGGAAATAGAGTAACCATGCCAAATCTTCAATAGAGTAGAGAGACGTGATACACATGGTGGATAATTAGCCGCAAACATATCCGAGTATCTGGGAGTGAGATGAATACCTAAATAGGATATCCGGTCCATGGCCCAACGAAATGGAAAAGAACTACGGAGAGATGCACTTAGGGGGAATCAGGAACATTAACAGGCATAATCACTGATTTGGTAAAATTAACAGTAAGACCTGACACTATAGCAAAATCGTTCAATACGGCACATAAATTAGGCAATGAAGTTAACGGTTTAGTAAGAAAAAGCATAACATCATCAGCATACATGCTTATTTTGAAATGTGAAACTAATAATGGGTAGCCAGAAATATCCGGATGTGATCTGATCGCTACTGCCAAAGGTTCCAACACCAGCGCAAATAAAAGGGGTGAAAGAGGACAGCCCTGACGGGTACCTCCTACCCAAGGTAAAAAAAATTCAGAATTACAGCCAGGAAGCCTTATTCTCGTTTTAGGAGAGTCGTATAGGGCGTGTATACCAGCTAAAAAACTCGTCACTGAAGCCCATTTTCTGCAGCAAGGAAAATAAATAGTGCCAAAGAACACTGTTAAAAGCCTTGTTTATGTCCAGACTCATCAACAGAACCTCTTTAGAATGTAAGTTGGCATCTTGAATAACATTTAGTGTGAGGCGAATGTTTATCAGTAATGAATCTGTCAGGAATAAAACCCGATTGGTCCGGAGAAACCAAAGAGGAGATAATAGGGGCCAACCTGTCTGCCAAAATACGGCTAAATATTTTCAAATCGTTATTCATTACTGAGATTGGTCAATAGTTTTGTGGTAAAACTGTGGTCTTTCTGTGGTTTTGGTATTAAAGACATATTAGCCAATAGCATCTCTTCAGGGAACTTACCCCCCTGCAAGACATCATTAAATCAGGTTATCAAATAGGGAGCCAGCATAGGGGCAAAATGTTTATTTAAACTAGCGGTGAATCCGTCAGGACCCGGTGCAGTAGAACTCTTTAGCGCGCTAATCGCACAGGTTATTTCCTCCAAAGTACAGGGGGCATTAAGAGAGGCAAGCTTAGAAGATGTAAGAGCAGGGGGGGTATAGAATCCAGCCATGAGTCGGATGGCGGAACGGAATCTGACTGTGGAGGAGCTAATAAGTTAGAATAAAAGTTTTCAAAAATACCCAAAACTTCCTGAGGTAGAGATGAAATAGCGCCCAAGTTAGTGCGTAACTTATAAACGTGGGGACGCAGAGAGTGGTTCAATTTCCTTGCAAACATAGTGGATGCTGAGTTGCTATGTAACAAGAACAAGGCCTTCGACCAGCGGAGAGCTTTTTCAGACTTTTGGGAAAGCAGGGTATTCAATTCTAAGCGCTTTTGGGACAATAACTGTTTATTAAGAAGAGATGGATTTGCAATATGACTTCTATAATGTGCTTCTAATTCTCGGGTAAGAAGTAGAATTTGCTGCCATCTTTTTCTATTTCTGGATAAAGCCATACAGATAAGGCCGCCGCGTAGGACCGCCTTATGAGCTACCTATAGTGGGGTTGAAGATCTATCAGGAGTCGAGTTAGACTGAAAATATTCCTGGATAGACGTAACCACCTCTTGGCGAGAGTCAGGATCAGTAAGCATAGAATCATTAAGTCTCCAAGAGAAGGGGGTAGGTGCCAATCCTATAAATGTGATGGATAATGCCATAAAATTGTGATCCGACCAGGGGCTCAAGTGGATGCAAGCTGTCCTAGAATTAGATAGTAAAATAGGGGTACAATAGATATAGTCTAATCTAGCATAAGAGTCAAGTGGGTGAGAATAAAATGAGTAATCCCTGGCTCCCGCATTATGCGCCCTCCAGGTATCCACCAATTGGAGGGCATCTAGTTTTTTAGTAAGGGATTTTGGGAAAGCCTGGGAGGAGTGCGAGGAGGAGCTTCGGTCCAAAAGAGGGTTTGCTACCAGGTTAAAATCACCACCCACCAATAGATGGGGGGACAAAAACCTTTCCAGAACATCAAAAAATTTTAGAAAAAAAGGAAGCTTGTGCTGAATTTGGTGCATAGATATTAGCAGTCGTGAGTTCTCGACCTGAGAGGGTGCCGTTAAGAATGATAAACCTACTGTCCGGATCACGATACACATGTTGAACCTCAAAGGGGAATGAATTATGTAGAAAGATGGCTACTCCTCTACTTTTAGAGGAATGTAAGGTATAACACCCCTGCCTATAGGATTTATGAAAATATGTTGGATGTTTTGCAGCTGCAAAGTGTGTTTCCTGTAATAAAATAATTTTAGCCCCTAGACGCTTATATTGAAGAAAGGCTGTTTTGCGCTTATTTGGTAAGTTAAAAAACCCTGGACATTATGTGAAATACATTGAATTACCATAGCATAAAAAAGTTGTAACTATCAGCATAAAAATAGACATTGAAAAGACATCTCCTAGAATTGTCTGGCTAGACATAAGGACCCGCAAGTCCACATCAGACAGATTAACAGGCAGTAGTACCAGCTTAGGGGACATCCAGACCCCAATATGGGGGTCGTGACGTCCACAAACCGGCACAGAACCAACATCATGCACTAAAGCTTTGAAAAGAGAAAAGACAAAAAACAATAGAAGTGAAGCCTTAATAGCTCCTACAATTAAGAGGATAACTGAAAAACATGGATCAGGCAGGCAATTTGCCATACCTGAAAAACAGAAAATTCAAACATCAAAGGGCTAAATGAGCCCAAACCCTGTCTCCGTAAAACATGGAAAACGGAGCTGCCACCCCACAATCGGGCGGTGACACCTCCGGCCATGTCAGGCGGCAGGGTGGGGTAATGTGTTCAAGAGTTTGGAAGCCATGAATGAATGGATGGTATTAAGAGGGTCCGAGGACCCTTGATAAGCCTTAACACATCCAGATATCAACGAGAAAGCATACATAGATTCCAGAAACACATAAATATTCCAGCAGTGACCACAAAAGTGCACATCCTAAAGGTGTAAGAGATAGAAATGAGCAAAATCCCTGTATCCCGATTCTTGTGTCAGTCATAGTAAACTGTGGACCAGGACTAAGGACTATCAAAACCATGGGTAATAGGCAAATCAGCATAGTCATATCAACCCGGTTCTTGTCGGACTCTCCTCCTATCCCTCCGTAGAGATGGAGTATGCCAAATGGGAGAGACACGAGGGGTAGAGGGCGGACGTTGAGGTGATGGGGCGTCCGCCAGGCACAATTTGGCCAAAATTTCTCTACCTCCGGAAAGGGATGTGGCTATATACAGTCAGATCCATAAATATTGGGACATCGACACAATTCTAACATTTTTGGCTCTATACACCACCACAATGCATTTGAAATGAAACGAACAAGATGTGCTTTAACTGCAGACTGTCAGCTTTAATTTGAGGGTATTTACATCCAAATCATGTGAACGGTGTAGGAATTACAACAGTTTGCATATGTGCCTCCCACTTGTTAAGGGACCAAAAGTAATGGGACAGAATAATAATCATAAATCAAACTTTCACTTTTTAATACTTGGTTGCAAATCCTTTGCAGGCAATTACAGTCTGAAGTCTGGAACGCATAGACATCACCAGACACTGGGTTTCATCCCTGGTGATGCTCTGCCAGGCCTCTACTGCAACTGTCTTCAGTTCCTGCTTGTTTTTGGGGCATTTTCCCTTCCGTTTTGTCTTCAGCAAGTGAAATGCATGCTCAATCAGATTCAGGTCAGGTGATTGACTTGGCCATTGCATAACATTCCACTTCTTTCCCTTAAAAACTCTTTGGTTGCTTTTGCAGTATGCTTTGGGTCATTGTCCATCTGCACTGTGAAGCGGCATCCAATGATTTCTGAAGCATTTAGCTGAATATGAGCAGATAATATTGCCCGAAACACTTCAGAATTCATCCTGCTGCTTTTGTCAGCAGTCACATCATCAATAAATACAAGAGAACCAGTTCCATTGGCAGCCATACATGCCCACGCCATGACACTACCACCACCATGCTTCACTGATGAGGTGGTATGCTTAGGATCATGAGCAGTTCCTTTCCTTCTCCATACTCTTCTCTTCCCATCACTCTGGTACAAGTTGATCTTGGTCTCATCTGTCCATAGGATGTTGTTCCAGAACTGTGAAGGCTTTTTTAGATGTCGTTTGGCAAACTCTAATCTGGCCTTCCTGTTTTGAGGCTCACCAATGTTTACATCTTGTGGTGAACCCTCTGTATTCACTCTGGTGAAGTCTTCTCTTGATTGTTGACTTTGACACACATACACCTACCTCCTGGAGAGTGTTCTTGATCTGGCCTACTGTTGTGAAGGGTGTTTTCTTCACCAGGGAAAGAATTCTTCGGTCATCCACCATAGTTGTTTTCCGGGGTCTTCCAGGTCTTTTGGTGTTGCTGAGCTCACCGGTGCGTTCCTTCTTTTTAAGAATGTTCCAAACAGTTGTTTTGGCCACGCCTAATGTTTTTGCTATCTCTCTGATGGGTTTGTTTTGTTTTTTCAGCCTAATGATGGCTTGCTTCACTGATAGTGACAGCTCTTTGGATCTCATCTTGAGAGTTGACAGCAACAGATTCCAAATGCAAATAGGACACTTGAAATGAAGTCTGGACCATTTATCTGCTCATTGTAATTGGGATAATGAGGGAATAACACACACCTGGCCATGTAACAGCTGAGAAGCCAATTGTCCCATTACTTTTGGTCCCTTAACAAGTGTGAGGCACATATGCAAACTGTTGTAATTCCTACACCGTTCACCTGATTTGGATGTAAATACCCTCAAATTAAAGCTGACAGTCTGCAGTTAAAGCACATCTTGTTCGTTTCATTTCAAATGCATTGTGGTGGTGTATAGAGCCAAAAATGTTAGAATTGTGTCGGTGTCCCAATATTTATGGACCTGACTGTATGTGCTCCCATTGTGAGGAATTATCAGCTTAAAAGGAAAGCCCCATTTATAGCGGATACGAGCTGAGAAAAGGGCAGTGGTAACTTATTTAATTTTTCTACGTTTCTCTAATGTAGCCGGAGAAACATCTGGAAAGATTTGTAAAACCAAGCCTTCGAAAGAGATTGTTGGGGTATTGCGAGCAGCTCGAAGTATGTCTTCTTTTTTCAGAAAACCCTTCATACACAGGACAATGTCCCTAGGCGGTTTATCGTTAGGAGGTTTAGGGCGCAGGGCTCTATGGATGCGGTCACAAGCAAAGGATCCGGGGTCACACTCTGGAAGGAGTGATTTGAATAACTTGGTTATGGTTTGTGAAAGATCAAACACAGACTCCGGGATTCCCCTGACTCGCAGATTATTCCTGCGGTTTCAATTATCAAGGTCCTCAACCTGCGCCTGCAATTGTAAAAAGGCTGTTTGTAGATGATCATGATCTCTGGAAAGTTCACCATAAGCCAGGCTAAGTTCATCATGTTAAGTTTCTAAGCGGTCGGTCCTGGAGCCCAATGTGGCTATTTCCTGAGAGAGAACATTAGTGCTTTTATGCAATTCTGATTGGAATTTAGCGGCCAGGTTGGTGTACATAGTTTCCAAGCAAGATTCCAGGTCCCCCTTTGTAAGTTGCTGTGTATATTCATTGACCAGAGCTAATGAAGGAGCTGTGGTATCCTTCGTGGGATCGGACAGGGATGCTCATTCTGTATTATCTGGAGACATGCTGCAAATCTCGTGTGTCTTAAGTAGGTATGTCGTGAGGGACTTTTGAGCTTGTCCCCTTTTTTTCTTGGTGGAAGGCATACAGGGAGTCTCCTGGGGGTGATCAACTGGAAATTAGATAGCCAAAGGAGATAATAACCCCAGGGGACCTATAACGCCCGAAACAGGATTAGGGTTGTAGTTACATAGATGCTATCGGGCTTATCCGCAAAAACTTTATATTGTAAAAATAATTAGCGAGCTGTGAGGACGTAGAGAGGACATAGGCCGTGGTAGCCACCATCAATAACTCCCAGGAGCAGGATGATGGCTCCAACTCCCACCTTAGGGTCTGAGAGGGACGAGGGACACATATAGAACAGAGGTCCCCCTATGATGAGCCCAGGGCCCTCCAGGGCAGATCCAGGGAGCCCCGGCACTCCACCAGGGCAGTATATAGGCCTCAGGGCTCAACAGGGGCCGTGGTCACAGAGGAGGGCGGTTTCTGGAGCAAAGAACGGGAGCCCCGTTTCGTGAGTCACTGGGGGGGGGGCAGGATGATCAGTAGCCGCCAGCCCCCTTGCCTCCTATACTCACTGTGGCTCGGATGAGGAGGTCCGTATCAGGTGGAGTAGGCCGCAGATGCTCGCTGCCACGGGGAGCGGCAATATACAGCGGCGCCTCTCTCCCAGACCCAGGGGATGCAGAGGGTGCCTCTGATGTCCTTGGATGAGCCACTGCCACCCGGATGGCAGTGGGTTTAAATACGAGGCGCCGGAGTCCCGGATCATGCGGCCGCGCCAGGCCGCGAATGTCCGCCGCTACAAATGGCGGAGATATCACCTGGAGCCCCTCTCCCAGATACAGGGGATGTCGCCAGGGGCCTCCACTGCCCCGTTGTGGTCCGCAGCTGCATGGATGACAGCGGATTGTGTGGGTCGGCGCCGGAGCTCCAGATTATTACTTTGTGCGGTTTTACATAATGTACTGTGTGTGTTTTTACTAGGGAAACCTGCTGCTTTATATTTCTCTGCTGTGCAGAGAAATACAAAGCAGCATGTCCTTGCTGGCAGGAGAGAGACCTGTGCTGTTTACGCATAGGTCTCGCCCCTTCCAGCTTTCCCCGACGATCACCGAATCTTTGGCAGGAACCCAGTGATTGACCTCCGTAGCCGCCAATGGCAGCACGGGTAGGGCGGCACGCACGTGCCCCCCCACCTGGAGATGCAAACCACGTATATATACGTGATTTTGTGCCACTCTGTAGCAGTAGTTCTACTCTAGGGCAGTGGGCAAGAGATTAACAATAGAGCTGAAGTTTTGTTGAGGGAAAAAAAAACATTAGTGACCTAATTACCCTGTAGTGAAGTATGTCTCATATCATTGAGACAGCTGGATCCTGGAGAAATCTTCTGTGCATGTATACCTCATCCTCTTCTGTCTCTGAACTTTCGGTCCTCCAGGAGTTATTGGCTCCAAATCCTCTGTGAGTCTGTAGTGAACAAGCTCCCAACAGGGACCTGACTACTCCTCCATTAAGAAAAGTTCTTTCATTGCTTTCACGTCCTGTAACACAATCTGTGAATGGTAGAGAGTCTGAAGAGTCGCACAATTTTTTTCCTTATTCACAGATCATGTTACATGCAGTGTGTACTATGAAACAACTTTTCCCAGTGTAGGAGGAGGGGGTGGGTCCCCATCAGTGGTGTATTTATCCCTTGTGCTGCCCTAGGCAACACTAAAATTGGGCAACCACCACCGTCCCCTCCCTCCCCCACCCAATTTAAGAACTCACCGTATTGAAAGAAGTAGCCGGCCACCTTCCAGCAGCGCACAGCCTCCTGGTGGCGCTCAGGCAGTGCCTCGCCAAGTCCCCATCCGTGGCACTGCCCCCCTGAAAATTACCACTCCAGCAAATGCCATTTTTGCATTATGCCCACCCAGGGTATAACCCCTTCTACTACCAGCATAATTCAGTTTTTTGTTGCTATCCTAGAAGGATTGGCCTCCTATTTTCTACTTCACTGATTTAAAGTGGTTGTAAAGGCTAGTTTTTAAAATTAAAAAAATGTTATACTTGCATGCTTTGTGAAATTATATTGCTCCCTTGCCTCTTCTTCTTCCGAATGCCCCCATGGCAGGCTGAGTGCTATGGGGGCACCCATGTAGGCGTGCTCCTAAACATCTCCCTGCTGCTGCTTGTGCTTCAAGAGCCATTAGGAACTTCGATCCCAGATCCATTCCTCCTGTCCACCTGCTGTGAGGCTTTGTCACCTCCAGCTGTGTGACCTTCCCTGCTGCCCTGATCGGGTTGCTTTTATCCAACAGGGCAGTTAAATAGAAGTTGATTGAGATTTGACCATTTCAAGTGTGGTGCTCACACTACAATTGCAAGATAAGACTGTCACTTCTGCCAGTACTTGCTCTGGCTTTGAGTCTTACAAGGCCCCTAAGGCCTCCAGTACCTCCCCTTTTTAGAAGTTTAGAAGCGCCCTGATAATGTACTTGCACTACCCCCCCCCCTCCCCTGCTAATGCTTGCTGGCACTGTACCCTTTTAATGAGCTTGTCTCTAAGAGGTCCAAAGAAAATCTTGTGCAAAGCGTGAAATAAAATTCGTGAGCTTCAAGCATAAAGTTACATACTCTAAAATAATATAAAATGGATGTTGTGCTATGTGCTTGGTGTTTTAAGCTCAAAGTGCACATACTGTACACGCAGTGAAAGAAGACATGCTGTGCTCCTGATGTAATTGCCAATTAAACCAATGAATGGGTGGATCATAGGAATCATGTGGCGACAAAGGAATCTGCAGTTTGCTTTGTTGTTTTAACTGGAGATGATCAGTGTATGGTACCGTTTAATGCAGGGATAAGTTGATGTACGGACCTTCCTTCTTACGCCTACCCTGAGACTAAAGGCTTCCTGTTATCTATGTACAAATGAGTGTTTTTTTTTTTTTTTGCAACAATATAATATAATTTATTACAGAGAGCACAAAGTTTTTCTCTCTTTGCATCTTTGTGCATGAGTGATAATCCTGGAGTTGAAGCAGTGTGCAGCAACCATAGGTGAAGCAGCTGTGTCTTTGCTATCGAAAGGATATGTGCTTAAATTGATTCTAAAGGTTGTAATTTAAAAATGAAAAAAACAAACATGTTATACTTACCTGCTCTGTACAATGGTTTTGCATAGAGCAGGCCTGATCCTCATCTTGTTGGGTCCTGCTGGCGACAGTCTTGGCTCCTCCCCCCTGCAGAGGGTCGCCAATAGCAAACCTCTTGCTATGGGAGGGGGGTCACTTTAGCAGTCTCGTTCCCACGCCACGCTTCTTTGAATGGACATTGTCCATTCACATACAGAGTGTGGCTTGGCCCCATTCCCACTCTTTCCTCATTGGCTCACTGGCTCTGATTGACAGCAGCAGGAGCTGTGTGCACCAATGAGGAGAGAGAGAGAGACATAGGAGAACTGCTCTCATGCACATCTCTGGATCGAGATGGAGCTCAGGTAAGTATAAGGGGGGAGGAGGTACTGCACCCAGAAGGCTATTTACCTTTATGTATAGAAAGCATTTGCCTTCTGCCTTTAGAACCACTTTAAGACCTTTTAATATTAGAGGTCACATCAATAAGGTGAGAACATGCCCTTAAGAGTTTTGGTGAAGGCTTCACTGATGATAATTCATAAACGTGCATCATGGGTGGAAGATTACAACACTTTTCATTCAGATATTCATGGATATTTAAAAAAGATGCTTATTTTTTTTATTATAGTTTGAATTACACTATATATATATATATATATATATATATATATATATATATATATATATATATTTTTTTTTTTTTTTTAATTATTATACAGGATTTATATAGCGCCAACAGTTTGTTCAGCGCTTCACAATATAACACATTATTATTTGTTTGAGCTTGAAACACTAAGCACATTGATGATATTGGGGTTAATTGTTTAGTGGTTGTTAATGCATTTTATTTCATTTTAAATTAGTGCAGCATTTGTATTATATTATTAAATAGTCCAGCACTGCTTTGGATCTGTCCATCTCTCACCATTAAAAAAAAGCTTACCATTCCAGTTGAGGATGTCCCTTTTAAAGGACTCCACAAATAAGAGCATGAAAGCTTTTTCTACGGCCATGTTCTCTTCTGCAGGCTCCACCTTGCACCCTGTTCTGGGGGTAGCTCTCTTAATGCAAGACTATGGCTAACTAGGTTATATCCTCTCAGCAATTATATGACCAATGTTGACACCAAAATATTACAGACAAGGAGGTCGAAGGGAACGAAACTTGTAACAAGCTTGTAACCCTGGAACTCTTACACCCAAGCATCGGGAATGCAAAACTTCCAAGCATCCACAATTGCCCTTCCTGTGCACTCTATCCATGCAGGGGACTTGGTCTTTAGAGAAATCTCACCTCCCAATAAATATGGCGCTTTTGACCACGTGGCTATCTCTCCAGCATTGGACTGACCGGGTCTCAGGTCATTTGCTACGCATTCAGTCAGGCAACTCCACGGAAGTAAAGTACATAAGCTGTTATTGAGAACCAGGAAAAGTTGCTGCAGCAAAGGAGGTAGACCGAATTCTGTACTGGGTAGAGCAACATGTTCTAGCTCTATTTGACGTGTACATCCCAGGCATAGGGAATTGGCAGGTAGACTTTCTCACCTGACACTTCTGGACCTGCGGGGCTGATCTCTACACCGAGAGGGGTTTTAGGACTTGTGTTGCAAGTGTGGTATGCCAGATGTGGATCTTTGGGTCTCCAGGCTCAACAACCAACTAGACAGGTTTGTCTCCAGGCACAGGGATTCTCTAGCAGAACAGTGGATGCTCTGGTGGTTCCATGGGATCAGTACACCATGATCTATACTTTTCCTTTCCTGAATCCGCATCCTCTTCTGCTTCAAATGTCCGAGATGACGTGTATTCTGGTAATTCTCATTGCTCCGCACTGGCCTAGATGGATGTGGTACAATGGCCTGTTAAGACTCCTGGGAGACACTCTGTGGGCTAATCTTGGGGGCCAGGATTTCTATTTCTAAGATCTATTCACCATCCTGCTTCACGGTCTCTGGCTTTAAGGGCAGGGCTGTTAGAGCGCAGGTTTTGTGAGATGGGCATCTTTGAAACTGTGATTTCTATGATGGTAAAATGTCAGAAGGCTACTGCTCGCAAGGTCTATCATTGGACATGAAAGGCATACTTCATTTAGTGTGAATTTCTCGGCTTACGCCCTAGACGTTTTGCAACAAATCCTATCATTCCTGAAGCTTGGTATGAACTAACATTTAGTTCTCAGCACTATTGCCACTAGGTTTCTGCTGATTTCTCTCTTATTTCAGAGACTGTAGCTCCCCCTTCCTCTATGATTTTGTGGGATCTGATTCTCTCTGCACTTAACTAACTGCTGTTTGATCCCATTAGAGACATTCCTCTCTCTACTCTTACTCACATGGTGGTATTCCTTGTAGTCATCACTTCAAGTGTCTGAATCGACAGCTTTATCTTGCAAGGAACCCTATAGAGGTCAGGTGGTGTTGAGACCCAGGACTTCCTTCTTGCCTAAGATAGTTTCTGCCTTTCACCTAAACCAGAACATAATTTTTCCTGCTGTCTGGATTCAGATCACCAATGGGAAATTTCCCTCCATTGTCTGAATGCGGTTCGAACTGTGAGAGTTCATCTCTAGGCCACCGCTGCTTTCAGAAAGACTGATTGTCTTAAGTGTTCACTGGCTTCCTGATCCACCATCTCTAGGTGGCCCAGACAGACCATCATTCATATTTATGGTCTCAAGGATTGGGTTCCACCCTCCCTGTCAAAGTGCATTAGATCTGGTTAGGCTTTTTGTGGTCAAGCAACTGTTTGCCAGATTTGCAAGAATGCTACCTGGTCTTCTGTTGACACTCTTTAAGTTCCATGATGTGGATGTTGTAGCTTCATCTGATGCCAGATTTGGATGTAGGGGTCCTTTAGGTGGCCCTTTTGAGCTGCAGGCGGTCCCCAGTTCTCTGTTTTTTGTTTTTTTTTGTCTCAACATTGAATACCTTTGCGATGAATTGAGACATTAATTGTGAGCAAGGACTATTCATCCAACATCAGTACCTGATCTCACAAGTATACCTTTTTTTTTTTTAAAAGGTCCAAATTCCCATAACCA